TAATATTTGTAATATGTGTTTGGTCAGTTTAGGGTCTAGGGTTTAGGGTTTAGGGTTTAGGGATACTAGTCAGAAGAAGAATGGTAATAGTAAATAATGTTAATATGTGAAGACTATTGCCAGTTCTCTGAACTAGGCAGGGTCCCTTTTGGGTGCCCGTATAACAAGGACCCCAGAAGGGACGACATGTTAGAGAAACGGCCCGATGCATATGAAGATAGAAATATAGAATTTTCCTAACTTTGCCCTAACTTTTGCGCTTCCGACATTCCCAGAAACTCCACAGCCCATATGCGCCCTAAGCTCCTACGAGGCCCCCCAACCCCCCCACGGTTTAGGGTTTAGGGTTGAGGATTTAGGGTTCAGGGTTTAGGGTTTAGGGTTACAAGGGCCTTAAAACTGGGCTGGGTTATAAGGCTTCTAACTTAGGTTCTGAGTCCCTTACCTACAGTCAGCATAGTGAGGGGGCCCCTCCTCTATGGCCCCTCTATAAACCCCACGAACACTGCAATCCTATAAACCTTGAACCCTCAATAAACCCTCAACCCTATACACGCTGTACAAACCCTAAAGTGAGGGGGCCCCCTCCTTGTACAGCGAACCTAGCATCCTTCCAGCGTCTACATTCCTGTCAGCGTAATTACAAATACAGGGTTGACGTGGGGTAGGGGGGGTATGGGGGGGTGTGCGGGGGGGGGGGTGGGGGGGGGGGGGGGGGGGGGGGTGGGGGGGGGGGGGGGGGGGGGGGGGTGGGGGGGGGGGGTGGGGGGGGGGGGGGTGGGGGGGGGGGGGGGGGGGGGGGGGGGGGGCGGGGGTGGGGGGGGGGGGGTGGGGGGGGGGGGGGGGGGGGGGGGGGGGGGGGGGGGGGGGGGGGAAGGTGATAAGAGTGTTCAGGAGACAGGAAGGAGAACATGATGATAGGGTGGTAGTGCGGGTGAGGGGGAGGTGAGGGAGGTGAGGGGGGGGGGGGGGGTAGGGTACCCATTTCGGGTCAAAAAAAAACTTGACTCGTCGGATTTTGTTTCTTTTCCCTTCTGTCCTTGCCTCTTCAGGTTCCCTTCTGTCCTTACATCTTAAGGTTCCCTTCTGTCCTCATATCTTCAGGTTTACTGCAGCATTGCCTCAAGCGGCCAGCAAGGATGCACCACAGTCGCAGCACTCAAGCGCTCTAACGCTAAACCCGAAACCCTAAACCCTATTTTAAACCCTAAACCCTATTTTAACCCCTAAACCCTAAACCCTGATTGAGCCTCTAAGCCCTTAACCCCTTGCTGAGAGGCGATGAGAGCCAACCAGCGGCGTTATCTCGCCATCGCGCAGGCGTGAATTGGGATGCCGACCTTGCGGACCAAAACGAACCCCAAAATGAAGGTTATACCCTGCCTATAATTATACTGTATGACTGTAGAATTCCTTCTATATATGCCTGTAGAATTCTTCTGAGGGTATATACGCAAAACAGTAGACCCTTTTAGGGTTCATGTGGTCCCTCAGGTAGAAGTCGGCCCTGATCTCGAGGATAACTCGGGTTTAGAGAGGGCTTTGGGTTTGGAACCTGAGGCTCAAGCACTTTTCCCCCCAAATCTAGCAAATACAAGCCCTGCACTGTGAGCCTTATTTGAACCCTGAACCCTGAAGCCTACAAGCCCTAAACTCTAAACCCACAACCCATAACCCATAAACCCTCAACCCTAAACCCTAAACCCTAAACCCTAAAACCCAAACCCTCACTAGGGAGGCCCTCTCACCTGCAGGACCGCAGCGCCCGGGCCGAGGACGTCGCGGAGGCCGTGGCGGCGATGCAGGCGGAAGGCACGTGCGGATCGTGGGGCTTAAGGAGCTTGGGGTTTAGGGTTTGGGGTTTGGGGTTTGGGATTTGGGGTTTGGGATTTAGGGTGAAGAGTTTAGGGTTCAGGGCTGCTTTGGAGTTTCGGGTAGGGAGTTTGGGGTGTAGGGTTTGGGGTTTAAGGACGAATACATCGGGCATAGCCTGCAACGTAGGAGCTTGTGTGCCGAGACGCTCGGGAAGACGATACCTGGACCGTAATCAAGGAGATCTACCACACCATCAAAGACCGCCAAGGAGCTGGGACCAATGCCCGGCGGGGTGGAAGAGCGGCACTAAGGAAACGTTGAAGGGTCTCTATCAGGAGACGGTCGTACTACCTACTCCTGGACGACAATGATCGGTGCGAATGGACGAGGTGCTAGCCAAAGATGTGGATCGAGGACATGACAGAGGAGTGGGCTTTGACTGTGTTGGTTCCATTGAGGGCTCGTAGGGTTTAGGATTTGAGGCTTCGGCTGTTTGTCTAGCTGCTGCCTCGGCTTTGCAACGGCGGAGATGTCACGATGTAGAGTTGCAAACCTAGATGGACCTAAGCCCTGTGATCCCTCATATACCCTGTAACAAGCCTATCAGCCCCATAGACCCTAAACCTAAACCCTTTTAGTTCTTGGCGCGTTGGTTGGCTCTATTATTCCACCTTTGGCCCTCAGCTTCCTGTTTGGTGAATGAGGGGCCCTATGAACCTGCATAATTCGTGCATAGGTCGTAGGGTTTATAGATATGTATATATATATATGAGTATATGTATGCGTTCACATATTCTTCCAAGTATTTGTATTTATATCTATATATATATATATGTATATGTATGTGCACGGAAAAAGTGAAGTGGGGTACTGGGCTTGAGGGTGAGGTGTAGTTCCTTTCAGCTTCTTGTGGACTTACCTAGAGCAACCGCCTGGATATGAGTAGAAGGCAAGTATACCGAAATAAATGGAATACTCTTTTGGTCCCTACACCCGAACCATGGAGCAGGGTGGGCAAGAACGTGGAAAGCCTATTCCCCGCGACAGGCATGCTGCGAACACCGCAGGCGCGTATGAGTGCAGGGTAGCTTCAGGCTTGCCCTAAAGAGTCAGGAAGAGTGTGGCGGTTTAGTGTTTCAAGGCTCTGATTTCTGGGGGTTCTGGGGATTCCAGTGGAGCCCCGTCCAGATCTCGACACGGGTCCATTGTCAGAGAGACAGAGAGCACCATTTTCGACTATGACATGAGATAAAGGTGTGCCACTACTTTAACGAGGAAGCTCGTGGCATCTTAGCCCAGACAGCAAGTAGCCCCGTTTGGCTCCGCTTGGTTCCGCAAATGACTGTTCGTGTGATTTTACTCCCATGTGTTGGGAGCAAGACCGAGCCAGCAGGGCTAAGAGCATGACCAGGGGCCTTCGCTCAGCTCTCCTTTCGTGGCTTTTGAGGTTGTGGAGTGTTGGACTAGTATTAAGGTTTAAGGTCACCATGGTCCCTTACCTCCTTTAAAGGGTTCTGAAGTATGGGTCCCTTGAGTTGTATAGCGCATATGAGGGGTCCCCTTATAAGGGCCCATACTAAGGGACCATGTAACTACCCTAAGATTGATGTTACCCTAAATCCTAAAACCCAAAACCCAAAACCCTAAACCCCAAACCCCAAACCCCAAACCCTAAACCCTAAACCCTAAGCCCTAAACCCTTGGGTTGTATACGGTACATAAGGGCTCACATGTAACTACCCTTAGACTGGGCCAGGATTACACCTTTGCCATCAAGAGCCTCGGGCGGAAGCAGCTCTGCCTGGAGACCCAGACTCCCGGTTTAGGGTTTAGGGTTTAGGGTTTAGGTTTTAGGGTTTGGGGTTGCGGGTTTAGGGTTTGGGGTTTAGGGTTTAGGGTTTCGGGTTTGGGAGTTAGGGTTTAGGGTTTAGGGCTTGGGGTTTTGGGGTTTTGAGATTTGTGTGTAGTGTTTGTGGTTTAGAGTATGCGGGGTTTCGAGGACTTCGGGTAGTTTAGGATTAGGGCGGTTTGGGCTAGCCTAGACAATATGATGGAGGGCTTGTGGGGCGTATAGGCCGCATAGGGCTTCAGCGGGTCAAGGCTTTCGGGTTCGGGGGGAGGGGTAGGAAAACCATGGGGAAGTGTCAGGAGCGCATTGGATCCAGGGCAACTACCTTTGCAAGATGATCACGAGTACTACAGCTGTTCAAGGCTCAATTGCCTGGACTCCTCTCTGCAATTCCCAAAAGCAGGAACAACATCTGCTTGATGACGCTTCAAGCAGCATGCTGGCGGCTCATCTATAGGAGCTGTCTTTCTGCCCTTGTAACTGACCCCCCCAAAAAAAAGAGCTAAACCCAGGCCCCTTACACTCCAAACCGCCTCTCAACCCTATAACCTAAAGCCATCAACCCTACAGAAAATCCTTAAACCTTCTTATAAACCCTAATCATAGGTTTAGTTGCAAGCCGAGGTGTCCCCTCAAACCCCAAACCCCAGACCTAAAGACCCCGGACGCCAAATGGGGCTTTCCGAAATTAGGGGTACCGTCCCCTTTTGGTCGAGGGGGATGCCTTCAGCGTCAGGCATCTCCCCACACGCCAAGGGGACACTGTTCGAGTATTTGCAGCCACAAGGGCATCAGCTGAATGTGCTTTTGCCCTTAGATTCGCTGCCGGTGCTGTGCGTGTGTGCGTGTTTTGTTCGACCACCTTTCCCAACCATGCCCCGTCTCTGAGCCAGTGTCCCCAGCTTAGTACTTCGGTGAGGGATCATCGTGGGAAGAGCTTTGTTCCTGCGAAGTGGGCTGTCTTGCCAAGTGTCCAATTCCAACTCAAGCCGCCCGGCTTGGGGGGGCGGGCCCATGGAGGTTCGGGTGGCGCACCCCTCCCAAATCCCAGGCTCGGATTGCGGGGCCCGGAGCGTTGAACTCTGCACCGGAGCCCCGATGACGCATGCGGAGGGGCAAAGAAGGCGAGAGGGACCGTTTCCGTAGGCCGGAGAGCACCCCAGGTCGACACTCACTCACTCACTCACTCACTCACCGTCTTGGGGTCCTTATGATAAGGGGATCCAACTATTTGAACCCTAAACCCTAAACCCTAAACTCGGGTCCCTGATTTTCGGAAACCGCCAAATCCCCAAAGCGCTCGCAAGGCCAAGATGCCCTGTGGCTGCTGCAATGCATGTGCCCCGGCGACCGACCAACAGTGGGTCAATTCGCATCGTGGCCCCCTTAAGGGGCTGGCTAGGCTAAACCCCTGGAACCCTAAACACCTCTGTGCTGGGTAGCATCTCGGACAGGAGGTTTTATTCAGAGGTTCTTGTCTGAGTCATTCAGCATTTTAGGTTATAAGGTATATACTGAGCAAAGGGTTCAGGGGTTTATGTTTTTGTTTGGTCTCTATTGACATAAGTTCCTTCTAGCACAGGGCACCTTTCAGGGTCTGGGGTTTTAGGTGCGGGGATGCTTCGATCCACTTGCTACTGTCTTCGTGCTGGGTTTGGCGGCAGAGGGTTTGTGCGTTTCGTTTTTACAGCGTAAGGCCGTTTTTAAAGCCTCATAGGTGTTTTGGTTGAGCCCCGCCTGCCTCCGAAACCCAACAGCCATAGCAAAGGATGTGCTACGGTCCTCCGCCCAATGTCTTCCACTTTAATGCCGCCATCAGCGCCTGCGACAGCAGCGGCTACTGGGAAGGCGGGGGCACTGTTTCGTGAAGCAGGTAGTTGAGGGTCTGCGTTTAACGTTTTAGGTGTTTATAGGGCTTAGGTTTTCGGGGTTGTGGATCTGCGGACTACTGACTAGGATAGAAAGCTTTGGGACTGCTAGTTAGGGGCTATAGGGTTTTTGGTGTGCAAGCGGTTATGCCCGGCTTTGGGCTTTTGGGAAGTGAAGGATTGTGCGGACTTTGCTTAATGGGTGTTCGGGTTTGAGGCAGCACCTGGCCAGAGAAAAGCCGCGAGGGCTCAGGGTATACGAACCCTAAACCCTAAACCCTAAACCCCCTTCAGATCAGGTGCAGTTATGCTTCTGCAGCAGATGGCCTTCTTCGGCGTTCTGCCCGACGTGGCCCGGGGGCTCAGTGTGCAGAAGCTATACCGTTTTAGGGCTTAGGGTTTAGGGTTTAGGGTTTAGGATTTAGGGTTTAGGGTTTAGGGTCTAGGGTCTAGGGTCTAGGATTTAGGTTTAGGGTTTAGGGTTTAGGGCATATGTCATGGTGGCTCACTTGGGGATTCTCGACAACCCGAAACAGTAGGCTTGGGAGACTCTCTGCCTACTTATTCTAAACCTACACCCTAAACCCTAAACCCTGAGACCTAAGCCCTAAGCCCTAAGCCCTAAACCCTAAACCCTACACTTTGGCCCTAGACTCTGAGACCTCGGGATGTTGGAATCGGGCTTAGGGCACAAGGTTTATAGGTCCTAAGGACGTCTACGATTTTCGAGCTTCGGCAACCCTACCAATCGGAACCCTCAAAGCTAAACATGCCCTGTACCCTACAGCCCTTGCAGGAAGCTGAAGTCGACAGAGCTAAGATGTTAAGGCTTATAGGCTTTAGGGGCTTGAGGTTTCACACATACCTGCATCCTCATCTCTAAATTGAAGTTTTGTTTCGAAACCCTAAACCCTAAACCCGAAACCCCAAACCCTAAGGTCAGCTTCAACACGGCCATCAGCGCATGCGGGCGCCAAAAGCATTGGCAACCTGCCTTGGTGCCTCGGGCTCCTACAGCTGTGACCTGCAAGGGTTTAGGGTTTAGGGTTTAGGGTTTAGGGTTTAGGGTGCAACCCTTCATAAAACCCGGAGTAGCCCACTGCCTTTTGCCTTCTTGTTGGTTCACGGTTTTCTTATGAAGTAGCCAACCCCTCAAAACGCGGTACCCTTATCGTAATATGGCCACCCACTAAGCCCTAATCCCCAACCCCCCAAGAAGGGCACCCTTCTGTTCTACAGCATGGTGACTGGGCTACGAAGACGCCACGCCATATCTGAGGACTTGCTTCGCCAGATGCCCACCCACAATTTGCAGCCCAACGTGGTGAGCCTCTTGACAGATGGGGGTTTCCGAAAGTTGGGGTACCCTTTTTGGGGGTTCGTATAATAGTAATCCCTATTTTGGGAAATGCACAGATCTGTTTCATGAGGGCATCGTGAGGGCAGAAGAATTGGACGGAACCTGAGGGTTGGGGGGCTGGGCCAGTTCCCCTCATCATAGGGGTATTCTGCATCTAGGTTTCCTTTTCACTGTTCTAAATTATTAAGCCCCCTGTTTTAGGGTTCAGGATTTGGGACACACTTGCCAGAGCGAAGAGCCCAGAAGTGCCAGAAAATTGGGCCGCGACCAGGAGCCCCTTTGAGGGTAGATACATGGTCCCTTCGTATGGGCCCTTAAAGGGGACCCCTGATATACCCTTTGCAACCCAAGGGCCCATACTTCAGAACCCTTTCGAGGAGGTAAGGGACCATATTAAGGGCCCATAGAACCCTCAGAGCCCCTGATTGGGGGGAGGGGGGGTGCCTTATCCCAAACCCCCAGATTCTTCTAACATCTGAATTTTCGTAGAGAGGTCACGGGTCATCCTCGACTAGGACCCAGAGAAGGCCCTTATTCCCTTTTTGTTGGGGGGGCTTGGGTTCCCTTATAAGCCTTTTTACACCAAAAGGGCGCATTTCATTCTTAGTGTAGTCTTTGGTCTAGTAGACAATGACACCTAAATCCTACCTTAAGCCCCTAAACCCCAAACCCTAAACCCCAAACCCCAAACCCTAAACCCTAAACCCTAAACCCTAAACCCTGGACCCTGAACCCTGAACCCTGAACCCTAAACCCTAAACCCTAGATCCTGTCCTGCTTTCAGGCTACGGTGCGGCCATCGATGCTTGCGCCCGCGCGGGGCGCGTTCAGGAGGCCGTGGCGTTGCTCGATGCCACCTGGCTGGACGTTAGGGTGTAGGGCTTAGGGTTTAGGGTTTAGGGTTTAGGGTTTAGGGTTTAGGGTTCAGGGATCAGGGTTTAGGGTTTAGGGTTTAGGGTTATATATATATATAGATAGAAAGCGACATTATCTCGTGTCCGTGCTATAGTAATTTTGAACCCTATAAACCCAAAAAACCCTACAACATTTCCTAGACCCTGGAAGCCCCCAAAACCCTAAACCCTAAACCCCAAAAACCCTAAAGCCCCGAAAACCCTGAACCCTAAACCCTATATACATCCTAAATGTCAACCCTGAAACCTAAACCCCGAATCCTGCTGCAAAACCGAGTCTCAGGAGATGTTTGGGGAAGGAATCCCCCTAAACCTTGTGAACCCTAAACCCTAAACCCTAAACCCTAAACCCTAAACCCTAAACCCTAAACCCTAAACCCTAAACCCAGGAGATGTCTGGGGAAGGAATCGAGCCGAACCTCATCGTCTTCAACGCGGCGCTTCATGCCACAAAGATCGCCGGCGACTGGGAGGCTTGAGATCTAGGGTTTAGGGTTTAGGGTTTAGGGCTTCAAGATCTGAAGGTCTGGGGAGTCTGGGGGTTAGGAATTCATGGGGCTAGGGGGTCTGAAGGTTTCGGGTTTGGGGGTTCTGAAGGTTTGGGATTTAGGGTGTAGGGCTTAGGGTTAAGGCGGTTCTAGGGTCGAGGGGTCTGAAGGTTTTGGGTCTAGGGATCTGAAGGTTTAGGGCAGTTAAGGGTTGAGGGTTTAGGGTTCAGGGCTGAGTGGCTAGGATTCGGGTTTTACAGGGTTTCAGGTGTTTGTTCGGGTGTTGTAGGGCTACAAGGCTTAAGCATGGGGTTTGTGTTTTGGGCCTTATAAGGAATACCTTTTCTTTGTTTTTTTGCCGGGGGGGGGGGGGGGGGGGGTTCTCAGGCAAATCGTAGGTTTTCAGCCCTACTGCAGAGGACGGTTGGAAGTCTGAACTTGCTCTGCAACGAAGCTGCAGGCTTGTGCCTTGACATTGAAAGTACCCTAAGCCTTCTAAGGGCCAACCTAGCCATGCTTTTCGAGAATGGGACTCGGAGTAGGCCCTTTTTTAAAAAACCTTTTTTAAAGGTTTAGCTTTCCTTAGAAGCCCCTTTGGTAAAGGGCACCCCTTTGGGATTCCTAGGTTGCTCTTGGGCCTAGTGTGCGCCGTGTGGCAGGTGTCACTGCAGCTGTTGGACAGGCAAATGGGGGGGGGGGGGGGGGGGTAAGTTGGGCATAGGACGGATTTCGCAGGCGCCGGATGTTGTTCAAGGCTTTAGTGTTATACGTACCTCAGTTGCAGGGTTTTTGGGCTCCTTCGAGACCTCCCTTAGCTCTCACCCTGCTCCTCCGAAACCCTAAGCCCTGAACACTAAACACTACACCCTAAAGGCCCTAAACCCTTCTGCACCCTCGCAAACTGTCTGGAGAAGCCCTTCCAAGTCGAGCTCTCGGAAGCCCTAAACTCTCTTCAGGCTTACAAGGAGGGGCCCCCCTAGTGATAGGTAGAGTGATAAGGACCCTGAGTTGGGTTATAAGGATCCTAAAGTAGGTTATAAGTCCCTTAACTATAGTTAGTATAGTAAGGGGGCCCCTCCTTGCAGAAACCCTTACACACCCTTGCGTGCACCCTTGCAAGCCCTGCCCTGCTCCTCCCGCAGGCTACGAAACGCCGGGCTTCGCCCAGACGTGCGCAGCTTCGCCGCCGTCTTCGGCGCTTTGGGCCGAGCCGGCCGGGAAGAGGAGGTCAGGGAGGGGTTAGGGTTTTCGGGCGTCAGGGATTATACATAGGGCGGTGCGGCACTTCGAGGGGTTATTGGTGGGTATCTCGCATAGGGTTTTTATTATTCCAAGGGTGCATAGGGTGCGCTTGGTCTAAGGGTAGTCACATTCTAGAACCTTTAAAGGAGGTAGGGACCACACTGAGGGACCATGTAACTACCCAAAGACTTGGGTTCATTCCGTGCATAGGGTGCACAGGGTTTCGGAGGCCTTCGGCTCCAGGGTTTCGGGATCCTTGGGTTGACCAAGTGAGGGGTGCGTAGGGCAGTTCTTGTATATTTTCGCCTTCAGGGCCCGCCCTAAACTGCTAAACCCTAAGCCTAAACCCCAAACTCTGCTAGGTGACCAGATTCTAGCGAAGGGTGTGGTCCAAACCCCTAGCGAAACCAGAGGTTTAGGGTTTAGGGTTTAGGGTGTAGGCTTTAGGGCCAAGTTGTCACTGGCAGGCTGAGGCACTGCTGACGACCATGGCAGATCAGGGTCTCACTCCAGACGCTTGCTTTGCAGTAGTGAGACGGAAGGGGGGGGGGGGGGGGGGTTCTTCCGAATTGGGCTCCCTACTTGGCAGCTGCCATTCCTTACGAGGACTTGTGCAACAAAAAACATATGTGTGCGTATATGTATATATGCTTTGTTCTGTTTTTTTATGTCTGTTTATATGGGCATATACTATATATATATATATATATACACGGCGACTTCTCATGTATACCACCTTCTCCAAACGTTAGCATGCTGCAGTTTGCCTTGTACCTTCTTGACACATCACCGGCCCGCAGCCCTTGTCCTAAAACCTAGAAATCCTTAAGCTCCAACTCCTCAAAACCCAAGCAAACCTCAAAACCCTCCAAACCCCAAAAACAAATCCCAAAACCCCTATCCCCGAAGCCCTCTGCCGTGAAAGCTAAAAGCACTCCAGACACTCCATCCCCGAATCCCTCTGCCCTGAAAGCTAAAAAAAAGGCCCTCAACTTCAGAGAGTCCCAACACCATTCAGGAGTATTAACCGAAACATATAAGGAACCCTCAAATCTTTTCAGGAACATTCTTCAGTTTCAGGGTTCAGGGTTTAGGGTTTGATTAAGGGTAATTAATTTGACTCCCTGGGTTTAAACCCTAAACCCTAAACCCTAAATCCTAAACCCTAAACCCTAAACCCTAAACTCCAGACTCCTGATCCGAGAGCCGCAAGGATCAAGGCTGCCGCGCGGAAGCCCTGGGTGCCCTCGGCTGGCAGGAGGCCTCATGTGTTTAGGGCTTGGAGTTTAGGGTTTAGGGTTTGGGGTGTGGGGTTTAGGGTTTAGGGTTTTTTTTTTTTTGCGTTTAGGGTTTAGGTTTTAGGGTTTTAGGGTTTGGTGTTTGCAGGGGTTTAGGGTGTTTATAGTTATTCGAATCATTGTTATTTCGGATATTCCTAAAATTCGTGGTATTTTGTTTAATAGTTTTTTAAGTTGTTTTCATCTGGCAGATGTCGTTTCGAGTGCGCGCTCGCAGACATGCGGCCTTAGGCATGAAGATTCTGCGGGATTTTTTGGGCTTTTGTAACTTGGCGTTGTTGCCCAAAACCACCAAGCTCGGAACCCTAAACCCTAGACCCTAAACCTAAACCATAGCCTAGGTTAGGGTGTAGGGTTTAGTGTTTATAGGGTTTGGGGTTTGGGGTTAGGAAACCACGTATGCCACGCCAAGCCCGAAACACCAAACCCGCCCAAAGCCAGAGTTTTAGGGTTCTTAGGGGTTTCGCGTTTTTTTTTTGTTAAATCAGGGTTTGTGGCATTTAGGGCTTAGAAGTTTAGATATCTCTGGCCAGGCGCTAGCCTGGCTGAGGCGTTGGGAGCCTCTTGGCCCTATAGGCCCCAAGCCCTAAACACTAAACCCTAAAGCCTAAACCCTAAAGCCTAAACCCTAGACCCTAAACCCTAAACCCTAAACCCTAAAGGGTCTAATCCTTAACCCTAAGGTGCTGAGTATAGGGTTCTGGGTTTGTAGGCTGTACTCGAAGGTTCATGGTACTTGTTGGCGAATTAGAACTGTACTAGTAGCTGTACTGATAACCATATTAGGGCACTTCAGGGGATTATAAGTAAGTTATAACAGGTACCCTAAACCCTAAACCCTAAACCCTGAACTCTAAACCCGAAAGTGGGTTATAAGTACAGCTATAATTTTGAACCTCCAAGGAGGTGCCCCTTCCTCAGCTCCCCAATGTACCCACCACTTGGCACCCTAATTCGCCATGTACTACTGCGTTCAAGAGCTTCTTCTCTAGGGTTTAGGGTTTAGGGTTTAGGGTTTCGGGTTTCGGGTTTCGGGTGCAGGGGTTAAACTAGATTAGATTGGTACTGGCCCCGAACCACAAAAGGAGGATTACGGGCCAGTATGGGTTGTTTGGAGTTCCCTTGCCCGATGGTCCGTGCCAAGAGCTGCGAGTTCGGGTTCAGGTTTAGGGTGTAAGGTTTAGGGTTGAAGGTTTACGGTCTAAGGTTTAAGTTCGAGGGGTTAAAGGGTTACGGTTCAGTTAAGGTTACGGGATTCAGGGTGTAAGGTTTAGAGGGCTTGAGGTCACTCAACGGGATAGGCTTCTTGCCGACCCCTTAATCATTCCCTAATGCGCAATACTCCTGTGGAAACTAGCTTTGCGTTAGGGGGTGGGGGGGAGGGGGCCCGACACCAGTACTAGACAAAGTAAACACCTAGGGCCTAGGCTGCACTGAAAGCCCAAGAAAAATAAAGCCATGAGACATCGAGCTGCCAAATAAAGGTCCAGCCCGAAGACCAAGCTAAAATCTGAACCCTAAACCCTAAACCCTAAACCCTAAACCCTAAACCCTAAACCCTAAACCCTAAACCCTAAACCCTAGCATCCGATGTCCTGAGCTTCATGAGTCTAGGATGCCTAAGTAGTTCCTCGTCCGACCGGCATTGAAGAGACTCCGAGCTCAGGCTGGATGCACAAGAAGGCCGCGGGTTTCGGGTTTTTGCGGGTTTAGGGTCTAGGGTTTAGGGTTTAGGGTTTAGGGTTTAGGGTTTAGGGTTTAGGGTTTAGGGCTTAGGGTTTAGGGTTTAGGGTTTAGGGCTGTAGCGACTTCCCCAAGCCCTTGCACCCTCAATCGCGACGATGTGCTCTTCTGGCGAGCAGCAACGCGGAAGTCGGTTTCGGGGTCCAGTTCAGGGCTTAGGGTTTAGGGTTTAGGGTTTAGGGTTTAGGTTTAGGGTTTTGGGTTTTGGGTTTTGGGTTTAGGGTTTAGGGTTTAGGGTTTAGGGATGTAGGGCTCACTGTTCACCACCGGCCTCGGATCTCTAGGGTGCAGGCACTCCGGGGCTGCCCTGTGAACTACCTCCCTGTATTGGCCCTTTTTCTCCCCAAAGACCCTTTTTCAGGGTTTAAAGTTCAGAGACACCTCATCCCAAAGTAGCCCGGGGACTTCTAATTTGAAGTCCCTTTTCAGGTTTCAGGGTTTAGGGTTTAGGGTTTAGGGTCTAGGGTTTAGGGTTTAGGGTTTAGGGTTTATAGTTTAGGGTTTAGGGTTCCTGTGCAGGTAGGGAGGCGCCTCCCGACGTGGTGTGTCTGGCGGCTGCGACAGGGGCCTGCGCCAAAGCAGCGCGATGGAAGGCGCAACTGAACAGAAACCTTACAGTCCCAAGCCCCCTACACTGGACACTGCCTGGACGCTTAGAGCTCCAGGCCTCAACGTTATAGATTCCCCGACCCTCAGGCCCAAAACCCCGGAAGATTCAGGATTTCAGTGTCACGGGCTTGGGATTTTTAAGTGGTTCGGGCTGTGCAGGGCTTGTGGATGTTGAAGTCGAGCGTAGCCACCACCCTCCTAAACTCTTCCTGGCGGCTTCAGCATGCAAGCTCAAGCTTTTGGTTGGGGGGAGGGGAGGGGGAAATCCTGCATACTTGCCCACTACAAGGAGGGCCCCCGTACTATACTTACTGTCGGAAAGGGGCCTTAGCACCCAAGTTAGGAGCCTTATAACCGAAATTTGGGAGCCTTGTAACTCTACCTATAACTAGGCTGGGGGGGGGGGGGGGGGGGGGGGCGGGCCTCCTTGTAAGCCCTTCAACCCCAAGCCCCAAGCCCTAAAGCCTAAACCCTAAAGAAGCCCCAAAAGACCCCCTTCACTGGTTGAACTCTTTAGGGTTGAGGGTTTAGACTTGCGGGTAGGGACGGTTTGGGGTTTAGGGTTTAGGTCTCAACATTTAATCTCGGTCTCAACCTTTGAGCCTTTTGAGCGTGCTGACCCTGAGCTTCTGAACTCTTACCGAAGCCCTAGACGCCAAAACGGTAAACCCCAAAACCCTGGACCCCTAAACCCTAAACCCTACACCCTAACTCATAGAACCCTAAACCCTAGTCTAAACCCCACCAAAACAAACCGACTTCCCAAAACCCATAGCCCTCCAAAACCCCAACCCCTTTACCCCCCCTCGAAACCCTAAACCCTAAACCCTAAGCCCTAAACCCTAAACCCTAAACCCCATCGAACTCCAACAGCTCCCAGGAGGCCCTGGACCTCTTGGACTTTGCGTTGATCGCATCTTCGGGGGCGCAGCCACCAGTGTCCTTCGCCTTTGCCAGCTCTTCCGGGTGTAGGCTTGAGGGGGAAGGTGTTTTTAGGGTTTAGGGGTTGGGGTTTAGGGTTTGGGGTTTAGGGTTAGGGCTTAGGGCTTAGGTTTAGGGTTGAGGGTTTAGGGTTTAGTGTTAGGGTTTAGAGTTTAGTGTTTAGGGCACTTTCGGGGGTGGGCTCACTGCATTTGATGTTGTAGGTTCTGGTTTCAGCTTACTACAGCAACCTCCCTAAACCCTAACCTGCGCCTCCCTCACCCGCACCCCGAACGAAGATAGCAAATGTGACCACAGAAACCCTAAAGCCCTAAATCCTACAACGCTAAACAACAAGCTTCGGTAAGTCCTGGAGCCCTCAGCCCCTGCCTAAACCCTAAACCCTAAACCCTAAACCCTAAACCCTAAACCCTAAACCCTAAACCCTAAACCCCCAACCTCAAACCCTAAGCATCCCAAGCCCAAGCTTTCATGGCCCGACATCTTCGCCGCCAAGAGCGAGGCATTGGGCCCTAAACCCTAAACCCTAGGGGTTTAGGGTTTTGGGTTTTTGGGAAGTAAACATCGAGCATGACCCTTGAGTAGACCTAACCTGGGGACCTCGCACACCCAATCTGCCTAGGTAGTTTGTCATGTCGGGATTTAGGGTATAGAGACACCCTAAACCCTAAACCCTAAACCCTAAACCTAAACCCTAAACCCTAAACCCTAAACCCGCCAAGGCCGAATGCCTTTTGCTACAACTCGGCCAGCAACGCATGCGCCCGCGCAGGGAAGTGGCAGTAGCTTTGACCGACGTGGAAGCAGTTTGCAGTTTGTAGTTTGGGGTTTAGGGTTTAGGGTTTAGGGTTTTTGAGGTTTGCGGCCTACTGCGCCAAGTGGGGGAGAGGAGTGGGTTGGGGGGGGGTGCTGGAGGTGGGAGCTGGGGGTTTCAGTGCTAGCCGTAAGAGTTCTGTTCATACTCCCCCCATAATCGTGAAACATACGTTTCGAAAGCTGAATGAGGGTCCCTTGAACCCCAACATAAACCAACCCACAACTGACTTTGCACCTGCACTTCAAGTCTTCAAGCTCTTGAAACTCATACACCCTGCAACCTACACCTGGCAAACCGCAAACCCAAAAACCTAAACCCTGTAAACCCTGTAAACCTGTAAACCCTATAAACCCTATAAACCCTATAAACCCTGTAAACCCTATAAACCCTATAAACCCTGTAGTCCCGAAACCCTGAAACCTGTAAACCCTAAACCCTATAAATCCTGAACCCGAAAGCCCCATAAGCCTGGAGCGATCGAGATGGTGTTTGTGCATCCTGTGGCCCTGAGGAAGGCCTTGCAACTGCTGTCTTCAATGGCGTGGCCCAGCCGCACACATCTGTGGGGTTTAGGGTTTAGGGTTTAGGGTTTGGGGTTTGGGGTTTAGGGTTTGGGGTTTAGGGTTTGGGGTCTGGGGTTAAGGGTGGGTACCCTTTTTGGGGTCCCTCTTCAGGGGATTCTATTCTGTTGATAAAAGGGGTACCCCGATTTAGGGAAATACCCAAGTATGCTGCATCCTGAATGATCTTCTTCAGTCGTGGATGCTTCATTCGCGTCAGCGTCTATGTGAAGGCCACGCGGTCTCAAGCCCTAATATGTATAGGACCTTGAAGACGACCCTCCAGTACATCTACGCAGGAAGTGTTATAGGTACCCTAATTTGGGTCATATCCTTGGTTAAATGTCACCCTGAGAAACACATTGCTTGCAGTAAGGGCTAACGCTTCACAAGTCCCCAAACCCTGAACCCTAGACCCTAGACCCTAAAACCTAAACCCTAAACTAACCCTAAACCCTAAACCCTATACTCTAAACCCTAAACCCTAAACCCTAAACCCTAAACCCTAAACCCTAAACCCTAAACCCTAAACCCTAAACCCTAAACCCTAAACCCTAAACCCTAAACCCTAAACCCTAAACCCTAAACCCTACTCCTAAATCCCGGCCCTTGTAGGCGACTTGGGGTGCACGCAGACGCCGTGGCAATGAACTCGGCCATGGCTGCCTGCGTGGACTTGCCGCAGTACAAAGGGGTTTAGGGTTTAGGGTTTAGGGTTTGGGGTTTAGGGTCTAGGGTTTAGTAAGGGCTCAGGGTTTAGGGTTTAGGGTGTTGGGTTTTGGGTTTAGGGTTTAGAGGGTTTACAGTTTAGTAGGGTGTAGGGTTTCGGGTTGACAGGGTTTGTAGGGTTTATAGGGTTTATGTTGTTTATAGGGTTGATGTTCGCGAAGTTCTATTCTTTGCTTAAGAACCAAGAAATAGAAAGTATTCTTCCCTGTAAAGGTAATAAGGGGATTATTATGATACCTTTTTTTGGGAGATTCTTAAGCAAATAGTGGAGTTTATAGAGCTCACAGGGTTGAGTAGGGTAGTTTAGGGTTTAGGGCATCAACATGGGATTCTGGAAGCAATATGGAGTCTGTGATCCTAATGGCTCAGGTTCACTTCGTTTCAATGGACACCACGACTTAGTAGGGAAGGGGTTAAAGACGAAGCAAGGGTTCTATCGAGGGACGATACGAGCTTCTTTGCTAAGAAAAAAGCAGTAGCCAGCAGACTCTTCGGCGCTGCAATATCTCTTAATTAAGAATGTCCCTTGGATCATACTAGGATCCCTATTGCATCTTGAAAAAGGCTCACGAGTCGATTCCGAAATATTGTGGTCTCTGGGTATGCTGTAGCCGAACTTTGAAAATCCAACTAGCTTTGACCCCTAAACCCTAAACCTAGACCCTTAACCTTTCAACCCTTAACCCGAAACCTAAAAACATGCCTGTTTGGGTCCATCATCCCAGGCGAAAGCAGAGAAGTGGGAGGAGGTGGGGGGTGTTGGAAGTTCTTGGAGGGACGGTGGGTTTAGGTTGGCTTTAGGAGTTTTGGGTTTAGGGTTCAGTTTTTGTGATTTCAGTCTTTGCCCTACAAAGACGAGTAGATGGACACCGACGCACTCCAGTATCGCACCTCTTCGCGGTCGATGGGCTTAAGGCTTCGCTGAGAAGAGAGGGCGAGCGAACAGTGTGACTCGTAGTCTCAAGATTACCTTGGAGAACTGACATCTCGCTCACGAACTACAGACTCAAAGCCCAAACCCTAAACCCTAAACCCTAAAGCCTAATCCCTAAACCCCGGGTGTGACAATAAGGAGGCATCCCATGTGAGCATGGCCATCTACGTCAGGTCCTCCAGCTCTTTCATGGCATGGCCCAGACACCCAGATGCAACAAGTGTAGGAATCTAGTCAGTCTACTTGCAGGTTTAGGTGAATGAAGGTTCAGGGTTTAGGGTTTAGGGTTTAGGGTTTAGGGTTCATGGGGTAGCGAGAAGTCGGGTCACAATTCTGTTAGCTCTACTTATATCCCTATCCGGACAGCCTACAACCCTACTTGTAGTTGCCCATGAAACCTCCAAGTAGGCTTTAGAGCTCGGCCTGGCTTTCGAGGAAGCCGAGTCTTGCTTTAGGGTTTAGGGTTTAGGGTTTAGGGTTTAGGGTTTAGGGTTTAGGGTTTAGGGTTTAGGGTTTAGGTTTTAGGGTAGGGTTTAGGGCTTAAGGTTTAGGGTTTAGGGTGGAACCCCAAGTCCCTAACCCGAAGCTGAGGAGACACGGGGGATGTAAGGGACTTGGAAGCCCTGTTGACTTAGTCAGTAGGGTTAGTAAGATGGGTTCTGGGGATTATAAGAGGGTGTCAGGGGATTATAAGAGGGTGTCAGTATAGACTTACTAACCATTTTTGGATTATAAGAGGGTGTCAGTATAGACTTACTAACCATTTTTGGATTATAAGAGGGTGTCAGTATAGACTTACTAACCATTTTTGGATTATAAGAGGGTGTCAGTATAGACTTACTAACCATTTTTGGATTATAAGAGGGTGTCAGTATAGACTTACTAACCATTTTTGGATTATAAGAGGGTGTCAGTATAGACTTACTAACCATTTGTGTTTGGCTTAAGCAGGGCTAGTAAGGTGGGTTCTCTGGGGATTATGAGGGAGTTTCAGGGGATGCCAAGTAGACTTACTAAGTCAAAAGAGCTTCCAAGGAGGGGGATGTAAGAGGCCCATTTAGGGTTTAGGGTTTAGGGTTTAGGGTTTAGGGTTTAGGGTTTAGGGTTTAGGGTTTAGGGTTTAGGGTTTAGGCCTTGTTTGCCCCCCGCCCCCCTGGCCCTGTAATTAAGCCCCATACTAGCCGTTGCAAGCTTCTGCAAGATCAACCCCCAGGGGCTCCATGTTAGTCCTTGCGAGCCTTCTTTGCCGACCCCTAAACCCTAAGCCCTAAACCCTAAACGCTAAACCCTAAATCTGAAACCCTAAACCCTAAACCCTAAGCCCTAAACCCTAAACCCTAAACCTAAAGTGCCAGACCTCTGAATCCCAGGCTGGGGGTCCAGCCAAGCCTTGTTTCGTATGGCACAGCCATGCGAGCCTGCAACGGCCTCGGCCGCTGGGAGGCTGCCTCGTAGGGTTTAGGGTTTAGGGTTCAGGGTTTAGGGTTTAGGGTTTCGGGTTTAGGGCAGTGTTTTGGGGGATTTGGGGACTTGGGTTTAGAGGTTTCAGGTTTAGGGAGGGCTTTGTATTGTCTATAGTCTTCAAGGTCAAAGACACTGCAACTTGCATCACTCGGAGGAACAGAGTCAGAGCCTTAGGCGATGTTCTAGGACCCGGAGTAAGCCCTTCTTCCCTTGTTTTTGGGGTCTAGGTTCCCTTATAAGCCCCTTTCATCCAAAAAGGGCACCCTGTTCTTCCTGGGTTGCTCGTGGGTCCAGTGTTTGCCATTTGCAATCCGCAGGAGACGTGCGGCTTGCTCCGCGAGATGCGAAGACGCTTGACTGCACAGGCTTTTTGAGCCTTTCAACCCTACAAGTTGGGGCCCCCCTTACTCTCCTAAGACTCACTGTAGTTAGAAGACTTTGAGCCCTAAGTTAGGAGCCTTAGAACGCAGTTTTGGGTCCTTATAACTCTGCTTACGACTATCGGGGCCCCTCCTTGTAAATCCAGAACCCCAAAGTTAGCCCAAGCCCTACCGCACTTGAATTAAGCCTCCGCCCAATGACCGTGGGTGCGACACCCTTTCGTTTCAGGGCTTTAACGGCTACTGTGAACTCATCCCCTGCCCCTAACGTTAAGCCCCCCCCCTGTGTCCCTAATATTAAAATACTCCCATTAAAGGCATATCACTGCATATAGGGGAGTTTCATATTATATAGGGGGTACGCGGGGGGGGGGGAGACCCACATGGTCAGAGTCTAGCTGACAAGCAGAGGCCATCTCACTGGTTCTCAGTGGGGAATGAGGGATGATATGAATGAGGATTCAGGGTCCCAGGGCTCCTAACCCTTAAAACCTGAACCCTGAACCCTGAACCCTAAACCCTAAACCCTAAACCCTAAGCCCTAAACCCTAAGCCCTAAACCCTGAACCCTGAACCCTAAACCCTAAACCCTACTCAGACAGGAACCCAAGATTGGTTCTCCTTCATGCCCTACTAACAACCATCAAGACACGCCGGGCCTGTTTTGGATCAGGGTAGGGTTTGTGATTTTGGGGCTTAGGGTTTCAGGGTTGGAACCCTAAACCCTAAATCCTAAACCCTAGACAGTAAGGAATCCCTGTGTTGCAAAGACTGTAAATCAGGGACCCTGGAACCCTAGGCCCCTAACCCATTGCGAAGGGTTTCCAGTTCAGCAGGAACCCTGCACCCGAAATAAACCCTTCAGGCCCTAAACCCAAAACGCCAAACCCTAAACTGTGAAC